TGCCAAATTTGGGGCTCCCCCCTCCCCGGGGGGGGGAAAAAAACACCCCCAGGGCTTTGGCCACGTGTCAAGGACTCAAAAAAGCGGAAAAAAACCCCAAAAATATAGCTTTTTGGGGTTTTTTAAAGTTTTTTGCTGCTTTTTGCTGTTTTTTTGTTCATTTTGGGATTTTTTCAAAGTTTTTTTGGCATTTTGGGGGGGTTTTCCCCATTTTTCCCCCCCCAGGAGCCAGAGATAAAGGCACACCCTCTGAAAAACCATCATTTCCCCCTCTCACAAGAGAAATTCAATGCTTTTTTGGGGGAAAATATTGTTTTCCCCAAAAAAACAAAGAGGGGGTGGAGTCGCCCCCCGAATTTGCCTTTTTTGGGGTTTTTTGGAGGTTTTTTTAGCATTTTGGGGGGGGTTTCCCCATTTTTTCCCCCCCCCGGGAGCTGGAGATAAGGACACACCCTCTGAAAAACCATCATTTCCCCCTCTCACAAGAGAAATTCGATGCTTTTTGGGGGAAAAATATCGTTTTCCTCAAAAAAACAAAGAGGGGGCGGAGTGGCCCCCCGAATTTGCCTTTTTTGGGGTTTTTTGGAGGTTTTTTTAGCATTTTGGGGGGGGTTTTCCCCATTTTTTTTCCTCCAGGAGCCAGAGATAAAGGCACACCCTCTGAAAAACCATCATTTCCCCCTCTCACAAGAGAAATTCGATGCTTTTTGGGGGGAAAAATATTGTTTTCCCCAAAAAAACAAAGAGGGGGCGGAGTCGCCCCCCGAATTTGCCCTTTATTGGGGTTTTTTCCCCCAAAACCCCTTTTTGCTGGGAATTAGTGGAAGGAGAGGTGTGTTCCCAGTGGAAAAAAAGCCCATTTTTTTCACCCAGCGCCGATTTGGCTCAAAAAACACCCCAAAAATGACAATGGGAGGTATAAAGTCCCAATGAGGGGGTGGATTTTGGGGGGATTTGGGGGGGTTTCGGGGGGGTCCCCACCTTCGGCGCCGATGGAAACCAGTTTGACCCCTTTACTGGCGATGAAATCCAGGGCTTTGTTGACGTTGTTGATTTTGTGGACCCTCATCTTCCCCCGCTCGGGTTTGGGCAAGCGCTCGCCTGCGGGCAAGAAAAAGTTAAAAAATTGAAAAAAAGGGTTTTTTACTGATTTTTACTGATTTTTCCTGATTTTGATGCTATTTTATGAAGGT